CCTCCTTTTCTAGATGTGTGGCTGTGACCCAGTAGTTGGCACTGTTGCCTCACAGCGGGAACGTCGCTGGTTCTGGTCCTTGCCAAGCTGGCCGGAATTTTGTGCAGAGTTTGCACGTTCTCCCTGTGCTCACATGGGTTTCTCCCGGGTTCTCGGGTTTCCTCCCACCATCAAAAAAAAAATGCAACCTAAGTTAATTGACTAATCCAAATCAGCACCATAGACATAAGTAGTTATGTCTTAAGCGCAGGGGAGTTCACCAGATCTACCTGAGCTCAAACTCCCCTCTCGCCTTGCAAACTGGAGGGAGCCCCGGGCTCGAGGATTTTATGAGCTAAGGGCTTTCTCCCGGGACAGCATGCCAAACAAGCTTTATAATCAATCATCAGCTAAGTGTGAACTCTTGAATAATGAAAAAAAGGTTTTGATATATTTATGTAAGGAAATTAGCTAAATGTCCTCATTCATTTTTGGCTTAGTCTCTTTAATTATCAGGGGTTTAGCCTACCCAATTCACCTGTACCACATTTTTGGACTTGTGGGGGAAACCAGAGCAACTGGAGGAAACCCCAGGCAACACGGGGCCTCAAACCAGAGACCTCCGCTGTGCCGCCGCCTCTAAATGTCCTTGTGGAACATTGCCATTAATGCCACATGCAATTAAAAATGTGTAATGTTGACTCACAAGATTTATTTGGACTATTCAAATGCATTTATTGTCCCCTATATAATTATTCTTTATTGGGTTTTCTTTTAAATATTGTACAAATATTGAAATGAAATGATTCATTCTTCATCTAAATAATTGAATACATTTTCCAAAGTATCCAGAATCATTATTTCTAGAATATTCCCATACTGCAATCTCATCGCGGTGTGTGTTGTGAGGGTTAGTATAAGTATGTGAAGCATCCCATCCCACTTTGTCCATCTCTTAAAATAACCCAGAGCAGCTGAAACAAAGCCTGAGAGACTGAACAGTTAATTCTGAAGAATGAACAAACCAGACTGATGAAAACACAACAACAAACATCACATGTACAACACCAGCTCATCAGACACTTCATCTGAGGGAGATTCAGATTGTAAAAACCAAAGCCAACTATTTGTGATGTTCATGATCACGAGTAACAAAAAGTTTCCCTGCCAAAGAGCAATGTTGTTTCTCAGGATCATTTTAAGAAGTTAATAATTAGAATTAAATAAAATTAAAACACGCTGCAATAAATAACTGTAAATTAGTAGTTTTCAGTATTTGTGATTTGTGTTTTTGTTTTTATTTTTTCTCGTTTCTTCCTGCTTTGGGATTGCATTATGGGACTCTGATCTTTCTTCCCTCAATATTTAACCCTGAAAGTGACTTTTATTAATATTTTAATAGTTTTCAGTGCTGTAATGTCTGTGTTGGTGTTGTATATTACGCTACAAAAACCTTACAATAAACTGCAGCACATTTTCTGTTATTTTACACACTCATTTCTCCATATTATACATTATATTAATTTAAAACTATTAAAAGTCACTTTGTTGAACTGCAGAGTTGAATTTTCAACATCAGAAGTGGACGAAGCACAGATCAACATCCCATAATATAATTCACAACCACAAATAAACAGAAAAACATTTGTGAATTACAAAATACAGAAACTCTTAAATAACAGATATTTTTACAGTGTTACAGTCAAATAAATGCAATTAAGGGGTCATCAACTACCTCAATCCCTTTATAATGAAAATTATTTCATCCCAAAACATAATAATTTAGTAGTAATTGACCATTTTCTGTCCTGTTTCTGACCCTTATTCGAGTGCTCTATTTGAATGGGCGTGGCCAGTGCTAAACTCAGAAGTAAACACCCACATCTCTGATTTGCTGACAGTTTTGCATATTTACAGGGCTGAAGTAAATACTAAATAGTAGTAAATACTACTATACTGAATAAAGTAAATACTAGCAGTATTTTCCAGACACAAAGCATGCTGGGAATTAAACATTTGCACAGTTGGGTGAACTTATTTAGTTTAAGTTCAGCCTAACGCAATCAAATTTTAAGTTGATATAACTTGTCTCTGTTACATACAATGAACTTTCATAAAAAAATGCAGAACAAATGAAATAACTTAATTTAAAAAGTGTCTTATTAAAGAATTAAACATTTCAGTGTGATGCCTTTTTCATTTAACTTTTAGTTTTTTTATTATTAGATTTTTTGTTATTTTTACTTTTTACATTTATTTATTTATTTACTTTTTTATTTATTTAGTGTTGAATTTTATTTCTCTGAGCTTGAGTTGAGTCCAAAAGTTATATTTTAAAAAAAAATTAAATTAATAATAATGACAACAATAATAATAATAATGATTATAATAATAACAATAATAACAACAACAACAATAACAACAACAATATAATAATAATAATAATAATAATAATATAACAAAAACAATAATAATGACAGTAATAATAATAATAATAATAATAATATAACAACAACAATAATAATGACAATAATAATAATAATAATAATAATAATAACAATAACACAACAACAACAATAATAATGACAATAATAATAATAATAATAATAATAATAATAATAATAATAATAATAATAATATAACAAAAACAATAATAATGACAGTAATAATAATAATAATAATATAACAACAACAATAATAATGACAATAATAATAATAATAATAATAATAATAACACAACAACAACAATAATAATGACAATAATAATAATAATAATAATAATAATAATAATAATAATAATAATAATAATAATAATAATAATAATAATAATAATAACACAACAACAACAATAATAATGACAATAATAATAATAATAATAATATAACAACAACAATAATAATGACAATAATAATAATAATAATAATAAAAATAATAATATAACAACAACAACAACAACAACAACAACAACAATAATAATAATAATATAACAACAACAATAATAATGACAATAATAATAATAATAATAATAATAATAATAATAATAATAATAATAATAATAATAATAATATAACAACAACAATAATAATAATAATAATAATAATAATAATAATAATAATATAACAACAATAATAATAATGACAATAATAATAATATTAGTAATAATATTAATAATAAAATAGACATCAATCTTGCAGAGGCGGGCATTTCACCCTATTACGTCACAGTGTAGAACCTTCCTGAACCTGTGGTTTTGTCGGACTTCTTTCAACATAAGCAGTTTTTAGAGAAACCACAACGTTTTGCGTTCTGAAACATACAGAAGGTTTTCACAATATTATAAGCTTTTATATGACAAAAGATCAGAGGAAATTTGTTTTTCTCAGTTCATGACCTCTTTAAACAAGCAGTGTCTTTATCTGATGTGTCATTGTGGAATAATATGTGACTCAAAGGCATCTGAGCCGCTCTCATCCATCAACAGTAGATCTTTCTCATGTTGTGTGTGAAGATCGTCTGTAGGTTTGGAAAATCCTCAATTGTGTTATTCATCTGTGTCTGTGAGAAAACTCACAACACAAAAGGGAAACAGAGAGTGGATGTTAATGAAGACACGGGTACATGTGAATATGAGTTTATTTGAGACAGATAAACCTGACGTTAGGAAATCACAAGAGTCTGTCATAAACATCATTAAATAAATCATATTCTCATTAGGATATATTTACAACAACTTCTAAAAGCTCACATATACGTGTTTATCATTTAATCAGAGCATGTTCAGGCTACAAACAATGATCACTTACTGTCAGATAAAACAAATAACACAAAAAATAGACCTTAAAAACTGATTTATTAAATTGATCATTAAATGATCATATTTTAAGGGTGTAAGAATTTTTAGATATAGTTTTTTGTTGTTTTAACACCACTAAATAACACAGTGTTGTTCTTGATTTTGAATTGGATTTGCTAAATTTATAAAACATAGATTAATCTTTAAAACAACAAATACATCCTTACCAACTTATTGTTAATATTGAAATGTTTAAATCTTTTTTTAAATTATTTGTAAACAATGGTTTAAAATTAATTAATTACCTTAGTTAAATACATTTAGAAATATATGATATGGTTTATAATATATTTGAGCATAAATAATACTTTATTGTTGTACAAATAAAGGACATTTTTAACAAAAACACACAGGGATTTGTTAACATTAAAACAACAAAAACAACAGCAACAATAACAACAATAAACCTTTTTCAGTTGGTTAAATTCCTAAATAGTCATGTTAAATATATAAAACAATAATTGTTTAATGTTTAAACCAATAAATACATACTTTAACATAAAAACAATTATTACTATTATTAAAATATGTTTTTTTAAACAATCACATTTTGATTAATTTGAATAAAATTATCATAAATAAATTTCAAGTAATCATTTTCTAAAAAATTATAAATAATTTAATTAAATTATAATTTAAAACACGAAACTGGGTGTAATAAACGTTTTGAAAAAAACACAATTTAACATTGTTTTAAAGTTTATAAATCCTTGAAATTACACAATGCAAAGCAAGTTTATTTATTTACTACATTTCATACAAAATAACAATTATTGCAGTAGTGCTTTGCAATACTGTAACAAGAAAATAAAAATAAACCATAAAATAATAACATAATAAGTATAGTAAATGAAAACAATGCATATAAAAATAATTAAAAACAGGGTAAAATGTGTTAAAACTGGTTTAAAAGGAATAAAACAACTAATTGATTAAATTAATAAATATTAAAGTTTTGAAACGCAAATGTACAGGCTAAAGGAACCATGCTGGCAACTTGTCAGTTTATAGTTGAAGCTGAGAGAACATACAGTACAGCACAGTTCAACTCAACACTCAGATGTACAGTTTCTGCTATTTATATGACGCCCCTCTGAGCTCTTAGCCAATCAGCGCAGCGCGTTCTGCAAGGACGCGCATCACACACTCTCACGCCTCGCTGCGCGCGCACACACAAACTGTCAGATTACCGGCTATGAATCACGGGTGTAAGCTGTCTGATCCCTGAAGTTTATCAGACACCGGACCGGTCCGATTCACGGACGACCATCATGAGCGAGAGGTTTATGGTCGTGCCGGTGGCGCACGCCGAGGAGAGCGCGTTTGGAGACGAAACGGACGGAGCCCCGGTGTTTGACGCCGGTGAGGACGCGCGCGCGGAGCAGCGGGGGTCGTTGCCCATCCTTCGGTACAACAGAGAACCCAACAAATACGGTAGGCCTACTAAAGTTTGTACGGTTTCATAATGCCACTTTTTAGTGTTCATAAAAAGCCAATATTTTGGATTTAACGGTAGCTTCACGCGCGTTCACATCAGTCAGTAGTTTGGCGCGGCGCGTCACTCGTTTACAGCGTAAACAAGAAAGTGAGCGGAAACTTTATAACTTTTGGTATTTCTAAATTAGGTTGCAAACAAACTAGCGTCTGCAGAAAGCTCTGTGTGTTTTAGTTAATTAGTTAATTGAAGAGTTTGGTAGCGTATATTGTTTAGTGGGTTTGTTTATACGTAGGTCTTTCTCTCCGGAGGTTAATTCTCTCGGGGCCGTTACACAGCGGACTTGTTTGGTTCCTGGAACGCTGTGAGAAAACGTTTCTTTAGAGTCTAACTAAACGTTTGAAGGAGACTAACTTTAAAGGGATAGTTCACCCTAAAATGTACTCCTCGTTTACATACCCTCAAGTTGTTCCAAACCTTTTTAAGTATCTTTTTTATGTTTCCAACACAATAAAAGATGTTTGAAGATAAAAAAGTCCCCATTCAAATCCATTTTAGGGGGGGAAATTACTTTATGGAAGTCTGTGATTTACAATATTCTTCAAAATATCTTCTTCATGTGCTTAACGGAAAGAAACTCAAAAGCAGTGTTGAATAAATGATGTCAAAATGTAGCCTAAATTTATTTTGTGAATTATTAATTTAAGGCTTATTTCTACTACACAAGAACTGTCTTAATGCATTTATTTAAATATTTCTGATCAGAAAGAATGCAAAAACAAAAACAAAACATTGATTTACATTTTGCAGCCTGACAATGATTCAACATTTAGTGTCAATTTTAAGTTTATGCATATAAACGTTTTTCACAAGCCTGTTATGACGCATTTAATGATCATCAGCATCTTAAATCCTAAAAGTTTTTTAAATACTTTTTATTTTAAAAAATGTATGAACATTTATATGTATTTATGTATGTAGAATATCTTCTTTGCTTCAAATTACAAAACACTAAAGACCTCTGGTGCGAGGTGTTTCTAATGCAGCGTCTATGGGACAGGACAGCAAATTTGACGTTATTCTCTCCTCTGGCTGCTGTTATCAGTCACACACAGTTTTTTTTTCCTTTTTCTGAAAGTCTTTATAACATCATCATGGAGTTTTCTTTTTTATTATTTCAGTAAATAAGATTGTAAAAAAATATTTGTTGTTTTCTCCCATTCACTGTGCTCTTAGTTTTCCCAACTATGATGACTTCTGCTACTGAGAAACCCGAAAGTGTGAAAAGGGTCTATAATAATATCAAATATCACATGGTGTTTAAACTAAAATGTCAATATGGTGTTCTTTAAGCTTACAGCTGTATTGTATTCTTGACCTTTACTGTGATACAAAAAAGTCAGTTTTAACTATAGCAACTGTAGTAACCCCTGTTAACATGATGAAATGTTACTAATGTTTTTAAAAGACTATTAATATATGATATTAATAACCTTAACTGCAGAAATGTATTGCAGTAGTTGTGATGGTGTTTTTGCAGGTCCCCGTGATACACATGTATTTTTTATTATGATACAATTTTGCAAGAGACATTTACTTTTACATTGGCTTGAAATGTAGATTAGGGTGGGACAAGATAAGGGAGGCTTGATTTTGAAGGAAAGCAAAAACTGATGTTTGTGAAAACCAAATAGAGTTTTCATGCATGAAAATAGTAAAAGTGTGGTCCAGCTTTATATTTTGTATAATTTTATTTATTTATTGTTTATGAGCAAAATATAAGGTCATGTTATTTTTCCATATTTTACAGAAGACATCCATTAACATGTCATTCAGGACAAGTTTATATACATAGAATTTTTTCAGGCATATATAAAACAAGAATAATATGATGACATTTTTAAATGATTTATATTAAGGATCATATTTTGGTACCAATATTTTTATACTTTGCCTTTTTCTTTAAACCACATGGGTTTGTAATGATTTAATTATAGGATGAGCACTTATTCTCTTTATTTATTGTAAGAACTACAGATAAGCTATTACAGAATATGCATGTTTTATATGTCTCTTACACTGAATGACAAAAGTCACTTGAAACATTAAAGACACACCTTCATTTATTTCATATGCTTTCTATGTTTATACAATCACTTGTAATTAGATGCAAACACCAAACCTGTGAATAAACACATCTAACAAATGCATGAATGTACTGTCACTGTATGTCAACACTGCAGTTTTATTGTATCTGCTTTATGAAAACAGTATGAGGATTTACTATATTGTTTCAGCTCTATTGTAAGCATAACATGCAACAATTTGTTAAAGGAAGAAGAATATATCCTCATTTATTTTTTATCCTTTTGCTTTTGCATTATGCAACACGAGGCCCTTTTGGATTTACATGACTGCCTGATTTCAGGGGCTTGTCTAGACGTGTCTTGGGACACTTTTCATGCTCAGCTGTCTTCATTAATTACCATGACACATCTGTTTGCTTCACGGTTTAGAAATCTAGCAACCTACATCTAAAATACTAACAAAGCAATGGATTAATGATTGATTCTGGCATATTTAAATCAGTAGAACAGGGTCATGGTTATCTAATGAGGTCCATGTGGACGCAAGGAAGAAGATATGCAACCGTTCATGTCCGTTTAATGCATTTTAGGTACTTTTTATCAGATGATGGATATGAAATGTTACTTGGGATGGGTATGAATGCTTAGAATCGACTTTTAATTTAATTTACTTTGGCCTGTGCGCACCGGGACACTTTTTGCTCGCGGTTTCCATCGACATTTAACGCCTCGTGACTAAATAAAGGGCGCCAATGTGATCATGCACACCAACGTGCAAAACGGCTGGCGTAAAAGCGTCATTTTTAAAGAAACGCCTTATGCTCGTTTTTTTTGTTTGATCAGATTGGCACTTTTGATCACGTGCATGGAGCTGCTGAAGTTACAGTAAACAGCACTTGGAAGCGCTCAAGCGCAAAACTGTCAATGCGAGTGCACATTGAAGAAGATGCCCAGAGGCGTTATGAACTTGGAGCTGCTTATTTCTCTGGTGAACAATAATAATTTCTTCATTATTAGAGCTGGAGCTGCTACTTCAACCATCCATTCTTGTTGGAATCACCTGTAACTTAAACAACAAGCGTGTCAACTTTCTCTCATCTTCTTTTGTGTTACAAATAGGTGTCAGAAGCTTAAAGTTGTGTAAGTCATCTAACGTCAAGGATTTTTCACACTTTTCTGCTCGACACCAGTGAAAATCGCTTAGGTTTTAATCCAGAAAAACGTCTCAAAACGCTGACAATAACCGCAAACGATAAGCATCCCGGTGTGTACGAGCCTTTAGGGCGTACTCACACTAGCCACGGTTGTGTTGAACCGAGCCAAAGCACAGGTGTCTCCTCTTCCTGCACTCACACTGCATCTTTACCTCCTGAGCTGGAGCACACTTACCTTATCGATGATGTGACTGTTCAGTTTAACAGGAAGAGAAGCGCTCTTGCTCGGCACACTAAACATTGCATTAGTTGTATTGTTTTGTATTGTTTTAAGTCATTTTGGTTGCAGTGACACTGTCAAATTTTTTGTCGAACAGATCAGCCACTTTTGACACTTAGAAAGTCTAATGAATTCCCAGAGGTGAGTTGTGGCTGGAAGGGCATCCACTGCGTAAAAACGTGCTGGATAAGTTGGCGGTTCATTCCACTGTGGTGACCCCGGATTAATAAAGGGACTAAGCTGACAAGAAAATGAATGAATGATGTATCATAAAAGTCATGCTGCAGGTATTGGGAGGTTTCTTGAAGGCATTATCTGTCGTGTGGCGTTTGTGTCTTTAATAAACTACAGTTTGACATTTTGCATTCATTGAACAGTAAGAATGATTAATAAATCCATATGAAACAGAAACTTAAAAGTGACACTGTTTCTTCAGTTTCAGGCTCAGGCACGCTTTGCTCTCACACTACAAGCATACCGCGCTAAAGCCCAACCGAACTGCGCTCTGCCACACCTCTTTCAACCGGGCCACGGCCAACTATACCTCGCCTGAGCCCAACTGAGCACTCACACTTGTCAAACAAACTGGGAAACGCACCCGGGTACGGTTTGGATAGCCTAGTGTGAGTGCACCCTAAAGAGTATATTTTGCAGATTTTTCATTATGCTTTGTTAATGCTGATTCACATTTGAAGGTATCAAATGAAAAATGGGTGATGAAAATGTCAAATTTCAAATAAAAAAAACATTTATTTGCAAAAAAAGATTTTTAGGTTCGCTTGAGGTGGTGTTGGACTTGTACGACGAAAGTTAGTACGAATAATTGGATGTGGAAATGCATTTGCCAAATAAACACCAACACGTTTCTAATCGGTTTTGACATTTTTTAATTTTCTGCTAACATTTGAGTGCTGTTGAGAACATTCTTAAACATAGCTGATTGGCCAATGGGTTCACCAGCTTAACAGAAATGACGGTGATTGACCATGAAGTTCATCAGTTTAACATTCTTCAACATTTTTCACAGAGTGTAAACACCGATGCGTGGACACGGGAGCTACGCTATATGTGTGCATCAAGTGTCTGCCCAATCACAGTCAAATTTGTTGACTATGTGAACACACTGGCCAATCAGTGGTGTTTAAGAATGTGCTCAAATGTTTGAGGCAAATGGATGTTTTAAAAATTCTGCACTGATCGGTACCGTTCTCGTTACATTTGACAGCACTTCTCTGATGTAGTGAATGTGTCTAATCAGCTGTTTATTCTGCTGGCACAATGCATGGACCAATGATGTTGCACAGCATTTCAAATGAGCCCTCTGACATGCTGAAATCTATTTAAAGAGATAGTTCACGCAAAAATGACAATGTACTCAATGTTTTCTCACCCACAAGTGTTTATTTGTCTTCTGTTGAACACAAAAGAAGATATGATGGATAAAGCTGAAAAACTGTAACCATTGACTTCCACAGCAG